TAGTCATTCCACAATGCGACAAAAAAACGAGGAATCGCTGCCTACGACGGTTGCTAAACGGCTGACTGAGTTGTGCCTTAGACCTCTGCACTTTCACGTTGATCTTCGCTATTGGATTGTAGGCGGTAGTAGGGCGGATGGCAAACTCTTTGTGCAGACATTGGATTGCAGAGAGAGAGAGAGATAGAGAGGGAGAGAGGTAAGTGAGAATCCAGTTAGTTCACCAATGACGGATATTCGGCAAATTCTTGAGTCGTGTGAATAGAAATTGAAACTTGAGTGCAACGCCTTTTTCGATCTTCTACCACATCTTGGCTACTTAATTTCTTCTTTTAAATATCATGCCTTTGAAAAAACGCAACTCACCAGAATGATAGTATTAAAATTAAGAATTTTGTTCACTCAATTTACTGAATCATATCATTTAAATGCTGATTGATCTCAATAGTAATAACTTCAATACTCTTAATTGTGGACACGTATGAAGTACATTCTACATTCGTTGTGACAAATTCTCAATCCCATACAGGTAGGTGTTTAACAAATTGCGATAAAACTCATAATAATTGAGGAAGTTGATGTAATAATAGAGGTATTTATTTACAAAGGGTTATTGGGTGAAGCAGATGAGTGTACCAGTGTAGACATTTGCAGGAGCAACAAATTTCAAGTAAGATTGGGTGAGTCTAGTGTGTCGAGATTGTGTTCGCTGTCGTGGTGGCCTCTTTATCCGAGATGGCGCAAACTGGGACTGTCTTGATGGACCTGCTTCTTCATGAATCTTCCCTAAGGCTTCCTTCGACTGCTGAGCCACGGCTTCTTTCTCTGCTTTGTAGTAGTCGTTCCACAATGCAAATAGCCGAGGAGGCTCTGAAGACTGCTTTTGTTGAATCAGCCGCCTAGATGCAGTCCACTTGCCATAACACATCACTTCATGCGCACTCTTTATCCCACTATGTGTGGGAAACGTGCTTCGAGTTAGGGAATAAGAAGGGGAAAGGGAGATGTTTGATTGGGCCAGACCTGTCGATGAATGAATTCCAACTACTGAATGATTTGT